TTTTGCCGTCTTTCAGTAATCTCTCGCCTTTGTTAAACAGAGTTAAGTCGGATGGATAGAAGTGTAACATAACTTTTGCGCTGCTCTTCTTCTCGCAATTTAGATTTCTTGTTCTTAATCACGATTTTGTATTCGTATACAGCCCCCTCAGACTGTTTCATCTTCCGCGTATTTATGTGAGAGCCATCATGCTTAATTTGACTACTAGACGGGAAGCCACAATGAATCATACTTACTGCAATTCTGTTCTTGCTCGTACCATTGTAGAGAGCTTATCTCCTACTCATGTCCTATGTCGCTTCGCTCATTTCCATTTATTTTCTGTAACAACATCTTCTCGACGAATTCAGAAGTCGGCAAGATTACAGTGTTGCCTATTAGGTTTAAAGACATGAAAGCTTATGGGGGCGTTTTTGAACTCTTAGCAGCTGCTTTAGTAGACTACCTTCAATGCTCCTCTTATAAAACAAAGGTCCTGGCTCACTTTTTAGTTGTTTGGGATCAAGAGCTGTGGCTTTTGGACACCTCAGCTTCACTCTAAACTTTTTCTTGTCCATTGAACTCAGTTTGATACCAATTGAATTTTATGAGTTTGAATTCTCGGCCTGCAGCTTCGACACGAGGTTTCCGGTTGGATACGAGAACGATTGCGTGCTTGGAAATTCAGCCAATTGCAAACTTCTTTGTAACTTAGAAACGCTTGCAAGCAGGACAAATACCGCAGCGCTGTTTGTTTGAAGCGTTATTCTTCCCTTGGGCTCCCGCGAGCGCGAAGGAAGTGTTTTGATCTAAATATTGCGCTGTAAGTTGGGTCAGTGTTTGCATAAAAAGTGCTCAATATAAGGTCATGAAATCAAAATTATGTGGAACGAAAAAAGTGTATTTTCAATTGGAGAACTAGGTTTTCCCATGGGTTTTCGCCAGAAATCGTAATAAATACGACAATTCTTTAATTCTCATACGTTTCCAAAGATTTTGCATAGTCCTTTCTGTATGCACTGCATACTCTTTTTTGCGCAACTTATTCTATTTCTCAGGGAATACGAAACTGCAAGCTCACCCAAAGGAGGTTGTGGGAGAAAAGACATGTCACTTGATGACTACACAGTTAGACAGTCATCTGGGGCCGGATTCATCATT